CTGCTCTGCTCCCCTCACTCCACTGCTAACTACAGATCGTTCGAAAGGTCCATGAATCCGAAAAGGGGCGGGGGCTCCGTTCCCTCCTGCTGCTCGTGGTGCTCCCACGTCCACAGAGCCCTGGGACTGGACTCACTTCTCCTTCCTGCTGTGTGACCCCAGGCAAGTCCCCGAAGCTCTGCCTCAGCTGTTTCATCCCTACAATGGGAATTACAACTGACGGGGCCTCAAAGATGGGCGTGGGATCCGGGGGCACCCGCGCAGGAAACACTTGGCCCGGCACAGAGAGAGCCCCGGAAAAGCCAAGCTGCTGGCGATCTCTCTCCTTAGACGCAAGGACCTTGTAGCCTGGGGCCATGATGTCTTTCTGGTCACTGATCCTGTTACTGGGACCATGCTGGGTCATTAACCTCCACCAGAGATGGTGACAGGGGGCAGGTTCCGTGAGGCAGGATGTGGGGGGCTGCCCAGACTCTGGGATCCCAGCCGAGCTCCTCAGAGCCCACCAGGTACAGAACAGCCTCCTTGGGGTGCAGCATAAGCCTCCCTCATATCTAAGCGCCACTGGTTCCGTAACCTCAGAGAGCACTCGACAGTGACCCCTGCGGTCAGAAGCGCCCCACCGACTTCTCTGCCACGGCCCACAGTCCCAGGGCTCAGTCCCCACAGAGTAACCCCCACTCCAAACCGCAGAGACAGTGGGCTGGGGCAGCCAGAGGCTGGACTGGGCCGTGGGACATGTGGGTTCCAGCCCCAGCTCCGGGCCAACACCTTAGGTGCATCCCTCTTCCTCTGTGTACCTCAGTTTATCCATCTGGAAATTTGGGGTGGGGCCAGCCTGATCTCCTTCCAATTCTAAGAGTCTCCTGCATACTTACATTCACTGACTGACTTATTCCACAAGTATTTACTAAGTGCCTACTGTGTAGCGCCCGTGCTGGGCCCGAAGGCCCCTCCCCCTCCTCAGCCTCCAAGTCTCAGCTTCACAAAGGAAGCCTCCCCTAGCCAGCTCTGGGGCCCCTCACCTGACCTCCCCCAGCCCCGTCCTTCTAGTCACAGACTTGTCACTCTGTGTCATCTGGTAGGTCTATTTACCTGCCTGCTTCGCTGTGAATGTGGCCTCCTGAGGGCAGAACCATGTCTTGTCCCCCGATCCATTTGCGGGGATTCCAGAGTAAGGGTCTGGAAATATCTCTCGGGGCAAATGAACAAATGAATGAATACATAAGTTCCCCCACCCACCTCCCAACACAGTGCCCTCAATTAAGCTTCCTGCCTCTGCATTCTCTTCCCCAACCCCGTCCCCAGGAGCCCACCGGGCAGTTCCCATTGCCGACCAAAACCTTCCTGGACATGTCTCCTGCCTCAGAGCTGGGTGACCAAAAGGTGCCCACAAGGGATAGGTGGTATTTTTGAGGTGTTAACTGCTCCGGTGTGGGGCTGGCACCACCTCAGGTTTGATGGGAACTCAGTCGGTTCTGTGCCTTGCTCCACGTTGTCCCAGCAGACACTCAGTCAATATTTAAGCATTAATTAACTTCCTCCAGGGAGCGCTGACTCAGTGCCAGATGGAACCTCCCAGTTCCAGGGGAATCGGTCAGCACTGCAACCTTTTTCAGGTACCAGGACAAGCAGGCCAGTCCTTCATCCCAGGAAGCCCCGGGCAGGGGGGCAGGTCTGAGAGCCCCTCCTCTCCACAGGTGTGCCTGTGGATCTCATACACACACATCACACTCGCTGCCCTGAGCAGTCTATGGCACCCTGCTCTGAGCCCCTGTGCACCCAAACAGAGGCTTGAGTATGACCCACCCATTCTATACACACTTGTGACTTCCTGCTGTGCGCCCCCCAAGCTTCACTGCTCCCAGGGGCACCGAAGAGCTCAGCTGTTCCATCGTCTCCTTCAGCAAGTGTTTCTCACAACAGCTGTGGCCACCCCAAAAAAGATCAAGGGTTTTTATTAAGCTAGACAACTGCTTAGCCCTCCCCACTAGCCCACTTCTTGGTTCTTAAGAAGGAGGGGAGACCAAGTGAGTGTGGGCCCCAGACAGGAGGGCCCAGAGAACGGGCTCTGCACATGGGCCTGACCACCTGTCAGCTGGCCCCAAGGAGGGCAAGAGACTTCGCGACGCTCCGAAAGAGCCTTAGCGCAGCTCAGACTCACCTTGGGGCGGAGGTGAAGCTGGCGGGCTAGGAGGTGTCAAGAGGAGCTGCCCAGGGAGCCAAGGCCTGGCTAGAGAATCCACTTCCTCCCCTAGCCTGATTCCCCATCTCGGCCACCAGACTTTTAAGGTTCAGCTCTGAGAATGGCCGTGAATGATGAGCTGAGGCTGGGACAGATATTGACTTCTTCATGGACTCTTGCGGGCCCTGGTCTCAGAGCAGTTGGCAGGAAAGTGGTTGGGATGTCAGTCGCGTCAAGGTCACATTTGCCATGAGCTGAGCCCTGAGAACTGGACTCACATTCACCAAGTAGCTGATTTTGAAGAACCTACAGTGAGTTCTGGTCTTAGATACAGACGGGTTCAAATCCTTTCTCTACCCCTTCTTGGCTATGTGATCTTGAGCAAGATACATGAACCATAAGTCTTAGTTTCCCCCCAATAAGTTCTGGGCAAGGACAAAATGAAGGCCAAAGTCAGCATTAATAATATATCCTTGGGCTTTTACAACGGCTGGACATCATGGATCTCAGACTTGACTGTTGCATTTGGAGTCCTCACAGCTGTAAAAGCCAGATGGGACCTCCTGCTTCCCTCCACATGCCAGTGATGTCTCAAAAGTGAACTTCAAAAATAAATAACTGTGGACATAGTTCCACAGTGCAGCAGTTAGCATGTCTGCTTTACACGCAGAAGATCCTGGGTTTGTGCCCCAGTAAAGCCACGGTCCATGGTCTACGACCATGCCACTCTGAACAAGCCTGAGGTCCGATCTCACAAGCTAAGCAGGGTCGGTCCTGGTTAGTACTTGGATGAGAGACCACCTAGGAAGACCAGGTGCTGTAGACATTAATAATAATAATAATAATATATAAAATAAAATAAATGAAGCCTTTGAGTGTCTTTAAGACAGGCTCTGGGGAAGTAAGGGGCAGTAGAGTTTTATTTCCTACAGGTGTTATCACATGGACAAGTTCCATGCCTGTGTGTCCCCATCATCAGATCACCAATTGAATGGAATTAAGATGCCCTTTCTTTCTTTGTAGTCCCCCTAAAATGTCAACCCTGGCTTCTCTGGGTGGGGTTGGGGAACACGGCTACTGGGCACAGGGACTCAGATCAGTTTGACGGTGCCTGTGGCCAGCATGGAAAGGACAGAGCACTGGACCTGGAGCTGTGGGGCCTTGGGCAAGTCCCTTCTGCCGTCGGTGCCCAAGTTTCCTCATCAGAAAACGATGTAACATAACACTCCCTAACTTTGCTTTCACCCTTGATGCCTGGCAGTGAGTAGATGCTGAAAAACTGTTTGAGGAAACAAACCTGGAGGATAAATAAGACTAAAGGGTGACCCAGAAACTGCAGAATGGGCTGGCTGGGTCTCTTCACTCCCGCCAAGGGACAAAGTAGATACTGAAGACAATGGGCCCAAGGAATGAAGAGACTCAGAAGAAATCCCAAGGAGAGGATGCAAGCAGGAAGTTTGCCCCTGGGCATCCCTGCCCCTGGCCCGTGGGGCCCGCCTCGCTCTGAGTCTCTGTGAAGCCCTCTCCTCCTTCGAGGGCCAACTCAAGGACCCCCCCTCCTCAGGCCAATCTCCTGATCACTTCAAGGAGAACGCCCCCCGTCCCAGGCACCTTGGACCCCCATCTCAGAGCAGCAGTCACCCCTCTTTCAGGACTCCCAGTCTGGAGAGCCTCGGAGATCACGACCCCATCCCTCTGTTCCCCAATAGTCTCAGTCCCCGGCCAAGAGAAGGTGGCCTATGAATGACTCAGGACGAGAAGGAAAACAACGTCAACAGAAGTTGCATTGGCCAGTTTCTCAGTCCTCACAGTCCTGGCACAAATCCTGCTCTGCCCCTGAAGAGCTCTGCGACTCCCAAATCGCCTCAGTCCTTTGAGATTCAGGTCCCTGCTCTGCTAGCGGGTACAGTGAGGGAGCTTCTGGCAAGGGCCTGCCTGCCCCATACTAGGAACATAATAATAGTCCCTATTGTCATTATTAGTAGTTAGGAAGGAAAGGTTACAGAACTTGTGGTTAGGACCCTTGGTGTCAGCTGTCACAGCAACTATGGGCCTCAGCAGGTTGCAAAGCTTATGCCCTCAGTGGGGCATGACCGGAAGCCTCCAAAATCAGAGGAGACCAAATTCAAGAGGTTTTGGCTTTTCCCGTCAGACAAATGAGAAGGACAGCCCTTCCCCGAGGATTCCCTGAGGCCCCTCGGCCAAAAAAGTCAAGGAGTCGGGCCTAACATTCTCTGCGGTTGAGGATACCTCCAAACCCTCCTCCCTTAAGGGTCCCCCAGGGCCAATCCGACGGCCCCCCTAACCTCCTGCAAAGGCCTTGGGTCCCGCAGATCACCCGGGGGCGACAGGGTGAGAAAGAAAGTGTCGCGTGGACAGGAGTGGGCAGCCGTGCGCACCTGCCACAGGTGAGGCCCAGTCGTGCGGGAAGGGGGAGGAGCCGTCGCCGCAGCACACAGGTGAGCCGACCCCCAACTCCCAGAGCTAGGCCGAGGGCGGCCACGGGCTACAACGTGGCGGCTGAGAGGCGACCCATGTTGCAGACTGCGGCCCCAGCGCCTCCGAGCCCCGCGGTGCGCGGCGGCCCCAGGAGAACATTCGAGGCAGCAGCGGCGTTAGAAGCCCCAGGTCCGTTCGGTATTTGAATAGCACAAAGGAACCGCCTTGGTCTGATTGGCCAGCCGAGTGGCCCTGGGGCGGGCAGCGTCTGTCACTCGGGAGGCTCTGGGCACTTCTATTGGTTCATCGGGCGTGGGGCGGGGTCCGGATGCCCAGCTAAATAGCTGGGGCCGGGGCCGGCCGAGGCTCATTGCTTTGGCGCCGTCTGGGGAGCACGGTCCCGCGGCTGGCGCGCGCGCATGGTGGCTGCTCCTCTCGGAGCGCAGCCGACCCGCTGACCCGGGCTCCGTTTCCCCTGCTAAGCGCGCCCCGGCGGCCGGCTGGAGGCCGAAACAGCAGCAGCATTAGCAGCAGCAGCAGTAGCAGCAGCAGCAGCAGCAGCGGCCGCGGCTGCTCCGCCGCCGCCGTCTCTGCGAGAGCATGGAGTGCGCCCTGGACGCCCAGAGCTTGATCAGCATCTCCCTGCGCAAGATCCACAGCTCCCGGACCCAGCGCGGCGGCATCAAGCTGCACAAGAACCTCCTGGTGTCCTACGTGCTCCGCAACGCGCGCCAGCTCTACCTGAGCGAGCGTTACGCCGAGCTATATCGGCGCCAGCAGCAGCAACAGCAGCAGCCGCCCCACCACCAGCACCAGCACCAGCACCTCGCGTACGCCGCGCCGGG